TTTGCCACGTGCAGAAAAAAATATCCCTTACAGACTCCAAAACTGGCAAGTTGCCTACTCCTGGTATCATAGGAGATGCAACAAGTTGATTAAGAGCAGTGTTGAAGCACCAAGCTAGCAATGATTACCATGTCTAGGAAGCAAAGTGTATCACCCTTCTCTAACCACCACCATGAAATGGGAGCCAGTCGCTTGGCCTTGTGCCACCCACATTGTCCAATGGCAGTGGTACGGGGTGGGACAAAAGCCCCAGAGCCTGTGCCCAGATGCTACAGGTAACCGCCTCCTCCCACTCACCAAACTTGGAAAGGAATGGATAAAAATGGAGGGGAAGAAGAGTGAAGCAACTGCCCCACCCAGGGTAAAAGGAGGACATACATGGAATACTGCATCAGCTGCTTGTGGCTAAGACTTCCATTCCCCACCCCTAAGGGTGTCTCCACGGTTCCTAGCCCCTACTCTGATTAGGTTGATGAGCACATTTTTCATTATTTCCCATGCTTTTGTTGCATTTTTTTGCTTCACTCCCTGCCTTTCTCTCTCATGTATCTACCTGCTGCACCCATGTTTTAGAGGTATATTTTTACCCACCCTCTCACTCCCCTCTCATGCCACCATCCTCTCTGCTTTCCCCATCCCTCTGACCATGCCTGCCTCTAATCCCCTCCTGTTGTTGTCTCTCTTCCATAATCCTTTCAACCTCAACTACATCATCCTGCACCTCAGGGAGCACTAACCATCCCCACCCCAATGCACACACCAGAAAAGGTATGATTTGTTTTCTTCTTAATGTAGTAACAGTGAAGTAGCTTGTGAGATAGCCAGGTTGTGAAGGGAGGGAGGCAATTCTTTGGGTTGCTGATGAAAAAGCATCCTGGCAGCAGTTTCATAACTGCAATTTTCCCTTTCTGGAGTTGCCAGGGTGAGTTTCACTGCTGTGTTTCTGAATGGCACTTTGCATACCACGGAGTTTACCTCAGGTTGTCGTTTCCAAACATAGCTGAACTGGGAATCCCACACTGCTAGCAATTCCACTTTTCAGTTCAGCTGAATAACAAAATCTATTAATGCAACATTGTGGGCAAAATTCTGCCTGGCCACTCTGAAAGGCTTCCCCTGAATCCTTTCTGCCTCCCACCTCAGAATGCCTCTAGGAAGACACTAATTGCTAGTGCCTGAAAGGAGGCAGGAAAACCTGGCTGAGGGGTGGTGTGATGATTCATCTTTGCAGTGGTGGTGTAGGTGCCACAGTGCTCTGAGCTGCCTGTGTGCGCTCAGGGTGAATTCTGTCTGCAGGGCAACCCTCGCACAAATCCTCTTATACACACTAGACAGTGCTTCAGGCATGAGCTAGGCATAATTCAGTTGCACAGGTGTAAATCTGGAATAATTGTGATGATTTTTTTGTACTGAAAAAAGACTAATGGCAGAAATAACATCATCTTTAAAACTACCCTTATAGTGCTAGTGCTGGCCGTACTGAGTACTTTTTTTCTTCCTAATTTCTTTGTCTCTTTCACTCAGACCACAGGCACCGTAGCACTGGTTTGCCCCTAATTCAGCATGCTCTATTTATTCCTTGCTCACTAAGCTGCCTGTGGAATTAAGCATATATTTCCTAATTCTTCACACAATGGGGATTTTAATGATGAAGAACACAATCAATCCCAAAGGGCTGTTACCCATAATCTCCTTTTGGAAAGGGCTATTTGTCATTCACAGTAACAGGTCCACACAATTAGCATGTGATCGTCATGCCGTTTAAAAAAAATGATGGAAATCAGTGCCGTTTTGCAATGTTTGTGATTGTCTTGATTGTAGCGAGGTTACACACTGCAGTGAGGCTTTTGAAAAATAATCCTATGTATTACACGCAGCATGATTGATGCTGAACATGGCACCTTATGATCTGTATCGGCACTGTCCTTCCATTATGCTTTTGTAACTTAATTCAGCTTGTTCTCTTTAACCTTTGCATTCAAACATATTTTACAAGTGCACATATTTTATACATTAATATGGCATTATGCCACTTTGCTCGCTGATTCCACCTTCAAACAATATTGGAAATCACATGTTTTTTAATGCATGCCTGCTCTTCTTTTTCCTCCAGAGTGGACCAAGTGAATATGCAGAAAAATGGTGTCATGACATTGTTCTCTATGACTAGTTCGAAAACTGAGAGAAAAGGGAAATGGAGCAAACCCATTCCCATTAAAGTTTTAAGTATAATAACCTACAGTAGTCCTCCTATAAATATAGTGGGAGTAAAGGCTAATACCTATTAAGACCGAGTACTTCATGCAGATGGATCATTTAGCTGTACTGATGTACCAGAAGTTATAGTAATGTAGGAATAATTCTTCTTTCAGCTGTAGATATTCAAAATACTGTGTAATAGATGGGAATTCATTTTGGGGAATGCCAACAAAAACAATGTGCATATTGTTTTCCCAGCTTAGGGAAGGGTTAAAATCATGTTAACTTGTAAACATTTGTATAAACAACTATTTAGATCCTTATACCCTCCCTTCGTAAAGCATTTTGGCATCTACTGAAGAAAGGTGCTATATAAGAGGTACTTCGTAATGGTGGTTGTAGTTTTCCCTTTCATTATGTCTCCCCAAAAGCCGTGTGCTATTATCAGCATTGATTCATTTGGAGAGTTTTGTCTACCATTAGAACTGACTATTGTAAATGTGTGTAAAAGTCTCTGCAAAAAGCCCGCTTCCTTTTAGGCCTATTTCTGCCTTAATGGAATTCATTGCTTCCCTAAGCAGCCCTTGCAATTTTCAACAAGGTCCTTTAACTCATTTAATGTGCAACATTTGTTCATGCCTAATTTGTCTGAGCCAGGCCATGTTTGTGTTTTCCTTGAGTTGCAGAAAGGTTGATTGTGAGGGTGGAACTGCCTGCCTCTAGTGAATATATTTCTCTCCGAATTACAGTAATTACCTTAGGTTTCATTTGGTTGATGCTCTCTTCAGTGCCCCTCCTTGACAAGGTTAACAAGCAGAAGGTAACTGAACATCAAAAGATAAGTGCCTAATCACACAGGCAACTGTTGACAGTACCATTTTTCTGGGAATGTTGATAAGGCTCTGTTCCAGATTCTGCTGCAGAGGCAGGTAGGCATTAAGTTAGCAATGCTAAGGATAGTGATCGCAGATATCAATACATCTGCAATACTTCCTGCTTGTATCACTAGGATTATGTTGCATCTATGTTGCATCTTTCCTCTTCCCCTTTCAAAATCTGCTGAGTTTAAAATTCAGAGTTTTTGAGGTTTGTTGTTTCTTTGTTTTTACTGTAGTCATTTTAACTGATAGTATTTTATGGTAAAAGTGTAAGATCTAGTAATTTAGTATAAACTGGAAGCTTTGTTTATTGGATTATCTATGAAATCAAAGGAAAGCTCTCTTTGCCCTCGTTTCTCAGAGTTCCTATGCAAAAGAGGGAAGCTAGGATTCTGATTACGTCTGAAGAGAGACACTATTTTTTTTATAAATCTGATTTGCCCTGAGACTTTATAAAATTAATTCACTTCTGAATTTCTTACAGCTGTCATTGGCCACCTCAGTCTGCACTCTGGTGACCTCAAACTCTTAGATGAAAAATTATGAAGGAAAATCTACCTCTGTTATTTTTCTCCTGGTGAGAAAGGCATTAAGGGAGCAGTTATTTTAGTTTTAGCATAATTTTCCTTTGAAGTTTTTGCCTTTTAAAATTTCTTATACAAGACATTATACCACCGTCCAGTGCTTAATGAACTCGATGACCAAATATCGAAAACATGCTTCCTAAGGAGACATGATTTATTTTTAAGATTTTACAAGTATGTAAGGCTTTCTTAGAAGCTTCAGGAAATTAGATTGATGTCTCAAGCTAATTATTTCTGTGTAATCATCCTCACCTAGAACCATTAAAATGGCTGTGTTTACCTATGTCCTAAGATCTGGAAAAATAGGATATTTTTCCATGATCACGGCGATTATTGCTCAAGCTGGAATTTTAGGAGCAATTAACGTTCAAATATCCTTGTAGCTGCTGCTGTTCTGTTGCCTGAATGTTTCTCAGCCATGAGAAGTCCTCAGATTTATACATGACATTTACAGTTCTTATGGTTTTTAATTTGGTACTAGAACATATAAATCATTTTACAATGTTGATCCTGGTTCTGATCTCACTTTCACTGGTGTAAAACCAGTCCACGTGCCAATGACTTCAGTGGAGTTGCATGTCAATTAGCTTGGTGTAAGTGAGAGCTGAATAGGATTCCCTACTTCCAGCAGATGTTTATATTTAGCTTTAGGGCATTTTAGCTGTATATTTGGGTATGCAGTAGTCTTTTTGTGGTGTGTGGAATTATTAGCAGCTTTCAGGAATTGACTGTAGGTTATTTGGTGTTAGGATATAGATATTTATACCTGTCTGTAAAGGCCTATACTCTAAGAATTTAGGTGTATTCTTATCACTTGGCTAGTTATAGAGGTATAAAGGAAAGAATCAAAATCGCTGTCTGCCGGTGTAAGAGCCTTCTCTTACTGTGACAGTCTGAGGCCCTGTTCTTAGGCTAAGGCCTTTGGCTAAGCAGCAGAGGCAGCCATAAGCTGGGAAGCATATGGTCACATCCTCACATTCTAAATTAGTCATATTGAAATGAGCCCTGGTCTAAACTAAGAGTTGAGGTTGAATTTAGCAGCATTAAATCGATTGAACCCTGCATCCGTCCACATGACGAAGCCCTTTTATTCGACTTAAAAGGGCTCTTAAAATCGATTTCCTTACTGCACCCCCGACACGGGGATTAGCACTGAAATCAGCCTTGCCAGGTCAAATTTGGGGAACTGTGGATGCAGTTAGACGGTATTAGCCTCCGGGAGCTATCCCAGAGTGCTCCATTGTGACGGCTCTGGACAGCACTCTCAACTCAGATGCACTGGCCAGGTAGACAGGAAAAGGCCCGCAAACTTTTCAATTTCAATTTCCTGTTTGGCTAGCATGGCAAGCTGCAGGTGACCGTGCAGAGCTCATCGGCAGAGGTGACCATGATGGAGTCCAAGAATCGCAAAAGAGCTCCAGCATGGACCAAACGGGAGGTACGGGATCTGATCGCTGTATGGGGAGAGGAATCTGTGCTATCAGAACTACGTTCCAGTTTTTGAAATGCCAAAACATTTGTCAAAATCTCCCAGGGCATGAAGGACAGAGGCCATAACAGGGACCCGAAGCAGTGCCGAGTGAAACTTAAGGAGCTGAGGCAAGCCCACCAGAAAACCAGAGAGGCAAACAGCCGCTCCAGTCAGAGCCCCAAACATGCCGCTTCTATGATGAGCTGCATGCCATTTTAGGGGGTTCAGCCACCACTACCCCAGTCGTGTTGTTTGACTCCTTCAATGGAGATGGAGGCAACACGGAAGCAGGTTTTGGGGACGAGGAAGATAGCACACAGCAAGCAAGCGGAGAAACCAGTTTTCCCGACAGCCAGGAACTGTTTCTCACCTTGGATCTGGAGCCAGTACCCCCCGAACCCACCCAAGGCTGCCTCCTGGACCCGCCAGGCGGAGAAGGGACCTCCAGTGAGTGTACCTTTTAAAATACTATACATGGTTTAAAAGCAAGCATGTTTCATGATTAATTTGCCCTGGCATTTGCGGCTCTCCTGGATGTACTCCCAAAGCCTTTGCAAAAGGTTTCTGGGGAGGGCAGCCTTATTCCGTCCACCATGGTAGGACACTTTACCACTCCAGGCCAGTAGCACGTACTCAGGAATCATTGTAGAACAAAGCATTGCAGTGAATGTTTGCTGGCATTCAAACAACATCCGTTCTTTATCTCTCTGTGTTATCCTCAGGAGAGTGATATCATTCATGGTCACTTGGTTGAAATAGGGTGCTTTTCTTAAGGGGACATTCAGAGGTGCCCGTTCCTGCTGGGCTCTTTGCCTGTGGCTGAACAGAAAAGTTCCCCGCTGTTAGCTACGGGGAGGGGGAAGGAGGGAGGAGCTAGCCACGTGGTGGGGGGACGCAAAATGTGACCTTGGAACGAAAGTACATGTGCTATGTATGTAATGTTAACAGCAAGGTTTACCGTGAAAGAGTGTACCCATCGTTCTATAAAATGTGTCTTTTTAAATACCACTGTCCCTTTTTTTTCCTCCACCAGCTGCATGTGTTTCAAGGATCACAGGATCTTCTCCTTCCCAGAGGCTAATGAAGATTAGAAGGTGAAAAAAACACACTCACGATGAAATGTTCTCTGAGCTCATGCTGTCCACCCACACTGACAGAGCACAGATGAATGCGAGGAGGCAGACAATGTCAGAGTACAGAAAAGCACAAAATGACCGGGAGGAGAGATGGTAGGCTGAGGAGAGTAAGTGGTGGGCTGAAGAGAGGGCTGAAGCTGAAAGGTGGCAGCAGCATGATGAGAGGAGGCAGGATTCAATGCTGAGGCTGCTGGAGGATCAAACTAATATGCTCCAGCATATGGTTGAGCTGCAGGAAAGGCAGCTGGAGCACAGACCACCGCTACAGCCCCTGTGTAACCAACCGCCCTCCTCCCCAAGTTCCATAGCCTCCTCACCCAGAAGCCTAAGAACACGGTGGGGGGGCCTCCGGCCACCCAGCCACTCCACCCCAGAGGGTTGCCCAAGCAACAGAAGGCTGGCATTCAATAAGTTTTAAAGTTTTAAACTTTTAAAGTGCTGTGTGGCCTTGTCCTTCCCTCCTCCACCAACCCTCCCAGTGCTTCTCTCCTCCACCACCCCACCTGGGCTACCATGGCAGTTATCCCCCCCCCCACTTTGTGTGATGAATGAATAAAGAATGCATGAATGTGAAGCAACAATGACTTTATTGCCTCTGCAAGCGGTGATCGAAGGGAGTAGGGGAGGGTGGTTAGCTTACAGGGAAGTAGAGTGAACCAAGGGGCGGGGGGTTTCATCAAGGAGAAACAAAGAGAACTTTCACACCATAGCCTGGCCAGTCATGAAACTGGTTTTCAAAGCTTCTCTGATGCGCACCGCACCCTCCTGTGCTCTTCTAACCGCCCTGGTGTCTGGCTGCGCATAACCAGCAGCCAGACGATTTGCCTCAACCTCCCACCCCACCATAAACGTCTCCCCCTTACTCTCACAGATATTGTGGAGCGCACAGCAAGCAGTAATAACAGTGGGAATATTGGTTTCGCTGAGGTCTAAGCGAGTCAGTAAACTGCGCCAGCACGCCTTTAAACGTCCAAATGCACATTCTACCACCATTCTGCACTTGCTCAGCCTGTAGTTGAACAGCTCCTGACTACTGTCCAGGCTGCCTGTGTACGGCTTCATGAGCCACAGCATTATGTGGTAGGCTGGGTCCCCAAGGATAACTATAGGCATTTCAACATCCCCCATGGTTATTTTCTGGTCTGAATAAAGTCCCTTCCTGCAGCTTTTGAAACAGACCAGAGTTCCTGAAGATGCGAGCGTCATGTACCTTTCCCGGCCATCCCACATTGATGTTGGTGAAACATCCCTTGTGATCCACCAGTGCTTGAGGCACAATTGAAAAGTACCCCTTGAGGTTTATGTACTCGCCGGCTTGGTGCTCTGGTGCCAAGATAGGGATATGGATTCCGTCTATGGCCCCACCACAGTTAGGGAATCCCATTGCAGCAAAGCCATCCACTATGACTTGCACATTTCCCAGAGTCACTATCCTTGATATCAGCAGATCTTTGATTGCGTTGGCTACTTGCATCACAGCAGCCCGCCACAGTAGATTTGCCCACTCCAAATTGATTCCCGACTGACTGGTAGCTGTCTGGCGTTGCAAACTTCCACAGGGCTATTGCCACTTGCTTCTCAACTGTGAGGGCTGCTCTCATCTTGGTATTCATGTGCTTCAGGGCAGGGGAAAGCAAGTCACAAAGTTCCATGAAAGTGCCTTTATGCCTGCAAAAGTTTCGCAGCCACTGGGAATCATCCCAGACCTGCAATCGTCCCAGACCTATGCGGTCCCACCAGTCTGTGCTTGTTTCCCGGGCCCAGAATCAGCGTTGCACCGCATGAACCTACCCCATTAGCACCATGATGCCTGCATTGCCAGGGCCCGTGCTTTGAGAGAAGTCTGTGTCCATGTCCTCATCACTCTCGTCACCACGCTGACGTCGTCTACTCGCCCAGTTTCGCTTTGCTAGGTTCTGGTGCTGCATGTACTGCTGGATAATGCGTGTGGTGTTTAATGTGCTCCTAATTGCCAAAGTGATCTGAGCGGGCTCCATGCTTGCCATGGTATGGCGTCTGCACAGAAAAAAAGGCACGGAACGATTGTCTGACATTGCTCTGACGGAGGGAGGGGTGACTGACGACATGGCTTACAGGGTTGGCTTACAGGGAATTATAATCAACAAAGGGGGTGGCTTTACATCAAGGAGAAACAAAAACAACTGTCACACACCGCATCTGCCAGCACCCAGGAGACATACGGTGACAGTGAGCTGAGCGGGCTCCATGCTTGCCATGGTATGGCGTCTGAACAGGTAACTCAGGAAAAAAGGCGCAAAACAATTGTCTGCCATTGCTTTCACAGAGGGAGGGCCTGATGACTTGTACCCAGAACCACGCGCGACAATGTTTTTTGCCCCATCAGGCATTGGGATCTCAACCCAGAATTCCAATGGGCAGCGGAGACTGCGGGAACTGTGGGATAGCTACCCACAGTGTAACACTCCGGAAGTCGACGCTAGCCTCGGTACTGTGGAAGCACTCTGCCGAGTTAATGCACTTCATGCACTTAGAGCATTTTGTGTGGGGACACACACACTCGACTATATAAAAATGATTTCTAAAAAACCGACTTCTATAAATTCGACCTAATTTCGCAGTGTAGACATACCCTAAGGCAATCTGGGGCTGTTGGAAAGGTGATCCGATCTATCACCTCCAGAGAAAGGGAAGAGCCTAGAGGATGTAAAAGGAAGTTTAGTTTCATAGTTTTCTGTTCGGTAAGAACTCACTTGTCAATAGACACAGCTGGGAAACCTTTATGTCTTTATAGGTGTAGTTGTGAAATCCTCTCTTCTATATTGTTTTGTCATTATAGTTCCCACTTTGCTATTATTTGTCTGTATAATCTCTGACTGGTTCTGTGATTGTTTCTGTCTGCAGTATAATTAATTTTGCTGGGTGTAAACTAATTAAGGTGGTGGGATATAATTGGTTAAATAATCATGTTACAATATGTTAGGATTGGTTAGTTAAATTTCAGTAAAATGATTGGTTAATGTATAGCTAAGCAGAACTCAAATTTTACTATATAGTCTGCAGTCAATAAGAAAGTAAGGGGGGAAATAGGAACAGGGAATGGGGGTGGGGAAATTGGAATCATGTTTTGCTAAGGTGGGGAATCGGAAGAGGGACACAGGTAAGGCTCTGTGGTTTCAGAGCTGGGAAGGGGGACACTAAGGAAGGAAACTGAAATCATGCTTGCTGGAAGTTCACCCCAATAAACATCAAATTGTTTGCATCTTTGGACTTTGGGTATTGTTGCTCTCTGTTCATGAAAGAAGGACCAGGGAAGTAAGTTGGTGAAGGAATAAGCCCCTAACATTTGGCAGCACCCAATGGGATAGAGTATTTTAACAAGAGATTGATCTGAACTAAAATCAAAATCCCAGATATAAATACCCCTGAGCTTCACAGCTGGCCCTTTCCTCTGTCAGGCATTCATCCTAAATCCTGCAACTATATACAACTGGCTCTGGATCCAAACTTTACTGCTTTGGCTCTAATCTTGTCCTGTGTTGGATATTGGTAAGCAATGGGCAAAAAGCCACAGTAGAGCTGTCTGGAAATTAGAATTCCCATTCCTGCGGTAATTCTGAAATTTAAAAAAAAGAACTGAAAAGGAAGAAATTAAATTTCAAAATTTCTTAGAGAATGGGAATTCCAAAATGTTGTGTTGAAATGGCATTTCATTTTTCCCTTTTCAAAACATTCCTGATTCTCCCCAAGCTGGCTGAAGCCACAGCAGCCTGCCAGGCTGAGGAGTCAGGCAACTCTACGAGCCAGGGAAGCATGGGAGTAAGGACTTCCAAAGCTTCTGGCCTATGCCAATGCTAGGGACCATGGAACCCCTAGTAGCCCAAGCTCCAAGGCAGCCTGTGTGGTGGGCTGCCCTGGAGCTAGTGACCTGGGAGCCCAGACTGCTAAGGAACGACGAGCCTGGGATGCAGGGCCTGTAGGGCTTCCAGGCTCTCAGTTCATTGCTAGTCCACCAGGTGGGCTGCTGGAGAGCTCAGAGACTGGAAGGGTGAGCTGGTAGGAAACCAGGCAGATAGACATTTCCATTAGCATTAGGTCAACATTGCCATGTTCCTACAGAATGTTTCAGTTGCAGAAAATCAGCGTTTTCTAATGGAAAAAGGTTCTGTCTGAAAATTTCCAACCAGCTGTATTCCAAAGGTACTGAATTCAATTCTGCTAAATTTGCATGCTTCTTTAAATGTCTTAGGCTTGCCGATCTTAATAAATTTTCTGGTATTTCTACTTCCAGCTTAGCCTACAGGTACTGTGGACTAAATTCTGTTTGCTTCTCATACTGGTGTGTAGTAGGGAGGGAAACAAAGATATTTCCTCCTCTTTTGAACAACCCACACATGGTAAGGCAAATAGCAGTTCCTGCACTCAGTAGAGGACAAGCATTGCTCCGTCCCTATGCACTCAGGACGGATGGCACTTCAAAGAGAATAGGGAGAGGTAGAAATGAGATGGGGCCATGAACTGGCCCTCTACTGCATTACTTGTGAAGCAGGAGAGAATAAGCAGCATCCCAGAAAGGAAAATAGAAGGTGAATTTTCCCTTTGTGCCAGGATGTTCAGAGAGCTAGCAGAATTCCTTCCCATGTTCTCACCAGGGACTTTGTACCACCCTTTACTCTGAGGTAAGTCTAAATGATATGTTGAGTCCTATGAGAACTGTCTAACAGTATTTTGGCACTTCTAATTCCATTCCTAGATGAGCTGGAGGCAGGGATTCATATTTCATGAGAACAGAAAAGGTTTGATTTGAGTTTTGTTCTAAAAATGGGCAAAGATTTGGAGGAGAGGGATTTTTCCTGTGCATTGCCCAAAGCAGTTATTCTACTTTAATGTGATTATTTATATACCGGTAACTGCTTCTGTTTATTCTTGGGTTGTGCGGTCCTTTCCCCCTTTATTAAACTTCACATTTTCATATTGCATCTTATAAGTAGATAGATAGACCTGAAGATGTTCCTTCTAACATCAAAGAAAATTGAGTGTTCCAAACACACGAGTGAATATAGCTTTGTATGTTTATGAAAAGACAAGGTTGTTCTTGTTTCTCCATATGCATCAATAAGAATATAAGAACAGACATACTGGATCAGACCAAAGGTCCATCCAGCCCAATATCCTGTCTTCCAACAGCGGCTGATGCCAGGTGCCCCAGAGGGAATGAACAGAACAGGTAAACCTCAAGTGATCGATTCCCTGTCACTCATTCCCAGCTTCTAGCAAACAGTGGGTAGGGACAACATCCCTGCCTATCCTGGCTGATAGCCATTGATGGACCTATCCTCCATGAATTTATCTAGTTCTTTTTTGAACCCTGTTATAGTCTTGGCCTTCACAGCATCCTTTGGCAAAGATTTCCACAGGTTGACTGTACGTTGTGTGAAGAAATACTTCCTTTTGTTTGTTTTAATCCTGCTGCCTATTAAATGAGAGACAAAGACTCAGTCCTGCCTTCTGATATGTACCATG